TTTAGCAGTAGGTGAGAAGGAAAGTACAGATATGCCATGAAAGGAGTTTCTCCCACTGTAGTGAATGAACTATGACTCATTCTCATTTCCTCCCATGGGTCTCCTACTGACCAGCAGGACTCATCTGTAAGGAACAAGGACCCCAACGCAGAAAAAATTAACTGACCAACATGGAGATGGTCTTGGGCTGGTGAGAACTGTGCCCTGATAGGTTGGCATACTGTTCTAGTCAAAACTGAAACATAGCTCTAACAAACTGCACTGTTCAAAAAATGTATACACACTTTAACAGCTGATACCTCAGTTTTAAAAATGAAATGTATTTTAGTAAACATTGCCTTTATAATTATTCAAAGTGTGTATATACATTTTGGGAAACACCCTATACATAGTTTTATAATTATTTATGTACATATAAACAATGTAACCATAATGCATTTAGGCTTATGATTTCACAAACTTATCTATTTCTTAAAGTAAGCCTTCTGGGAAGCTTTGAATGCAAGCTAGCACTTGAAAAGATTTAACTGCAATTCAGTCACAATTGTTTTTCAAATTTATTCAATTTACATAGATGTTTTCACCCAGTTCATCTAAATTCCTGACAGGGCTCTTTTGCACTTTCCTTAACTAAGAGCAATTATGTATGTATTGTCTACCTTGTAGCTAATAGAAATAAGTGGCCTCAATACATTATATATATTATATTTACCAAAGGTCACTAAAGATTTGATCCTGCCATTTTTAAATATGCCTCACTGCAAAAGCATTGATATTCTTAAGCTATGTGGAGAAATGACATCCCAAGCAAGATATGATTTAATGGAAAATTTGGAAATCACCCAATTTTTCATAAAAGCAAGGTGAAGAAAACACATTAACTGGAAAAGAAAATGTATTTTCACCTACGGGAATATTGACCTGCTCATATGAAGATCACTGATTCACAGAGAAATATCTCATTTGGACCTTTAGAGTCTATTTTGCACTATAATTTCAAAAATTTGGAAGTTAAATTCTCTCACCAAATTTCAAATTTATTCCTCTCTTGCATCAAAAGTGTATTCTTCCATATAAACTTCCCACTTTAGCATAAATACTATATTGCCAGATGCCTTTATAAGACAAGCAGGAAATCTGATTACCGCTTTCATATACTTTTAATCAAAAAAGTGGACTGCAATCCATAAAGAATATTTAGTCACATCTAGAGGGAGGGAAATTTAACTAACTTGCTATTTTCTTTTTTTAATATTTTTTATTGATTTCAGAGAGGAAGGGAGAGGGATAGAGAAATAGAAACATCAATGATGAGAGAGAATCATTGATTGGCTGCCTCCTGTACACCCCTGGGGGGGGCGGGGATTGAGCTCACAACCCCAGCATGGGCCGTTGACTGGAATCAAACCTGGGACCCTTTAGTCAGCAGGCCAACGCTCTATCCACTGAGCCAAACCAGCTAGGGCCTAACTTGCTATTTTCTTATGAAAGTGTTGAGAAAGGAACCCTTCTAAATAATTTTTGCTGTTTATTAAATCTCTCTTCTTAGAGAGTAACCAATTGATGAGTGATGGTGCCAAGAAAAAAATGCATTGTATCCTTATGCTTCTTCTGCATGTATCATTGAAAAAGGATAAAAAGGAAAGAGTAAAATTCTTATTCCATGGTCACAAGAAACACAATTACAACCACCCCAGTAGTGTTCTGTGTGAAGAGGACTCCTTGGCATGTTCAATGTGGGAGGAAATAAAGCATCTCATCCGTTGCAACATGATGTTCAACTAGACAACTGATATAACATCATATCACAGCAGCACTAAAGAAACTGCGCTATTAAAATTACAATGCATTTTACTATGTTTATATCTTAAAGATGGACGTTGACACCACCTAGCTAGTCCACCACTTTTGTTTTACAGATGAGGAAACTAAGGCCTAAGGGAGTAAAGTGACTTATTCAAGTTTACAAAAAATTAATGCAACAAAAGGACTAGAACTCCATGTCTCCTGGCTCTCAAACCAGGGCTCTTTCTAAGTCAAATACCTACTAGCTCATCAGCAAACTTGGGACAAAGGATCAAGCTAACATTTATTGAACATTTACTATGTGCAGAGACAAGGAAGCCCTGGTTATCAATGTACTTGCTTCTCAGTTTTATATATGCCCCCTGCCCCCAATACATGCTCTGCAATAAGGGATGGATTTTCTTCTGCATTTCTCTTTTACAAAGAGCACAATGTTAAGCTTTTTCAGTAGAAGGAAGGAGGCCTTCTGATTCCTGTAACTGCAGGGTCAGTCAGTGGTGTTGGTGGGAGGGCAGGAGGAAATGCTTGGCCTCAGCCATGTGCCCAGATGCACAGTCCCTCAAAGACCTTGCAGCCCTGGCCTGGCCTAGTACTCACCCCCCAGAGCCCTCTCCACACGGACAGCACCCCGCACTGCTGCCCCACCTCCCTCTGCACAGCGCAGGCCCAGCCACTCACTGCAGTTCCTGGAGAGTTGCTTCCTGCTTGCCCAGCTCTGCAGACTAGCTCTGGCTCATGCAAACCAGCACAATTCTCTTCCATCCAGTGGGCCGCCGCTACACCTTCTCCAACAAAATCTGACACCCACCCTTCAGGGTGAGCCCCCTTCCAAGTTTGCGTTCCTTGGGCACTTTCTCTCAACCCAGGGTACCCTATAAGGTTTTCTTATGTTTATAGCAGTGGTTCTCAACCTTCCTAATGCCGCGACCCTTTAATACAGTTCCTCATGTTGTGGTGACCCCCAATTTCATTGTTACAAATTGAACATAATTAAAGAATAGTGATTAATCACAAAAACAATATGTAATTATATATGTGATTGCCGATGGTCTTAGGTGACCCCTGTGAAAGGGTCGTTCGACCCCCAAAGGGGTCGTGACCCACAGGTTGAGAACCGCTGTCTTATAGTGTCTGTTTCATCATAATTTAATAATTCTTTGTATTATACTTCCCCTGGTTAAATAATTTTATGGTTTCTGTCTTTTGATTGGACCCAGAAGAATACACCCTGCCAGAGTTGGAGTCATAGCCAGTCAAACTAACAAGCCTAGCGGCAAGACAGGAGTAAACAGCCCTGGCCAGTTGCTCAGTGGTTAGAGCATCACCCTGCACACCAAAGGGTCACGGGTTCAATTCCCGTTCAAGGGCATGTACTTTGGTTGCAGGTTCAATCCCCAGCCCTGGTTGGTGTATGCGTGCAGGAGGCATCCAATCAGTGTGTCTCTTTGACATTGATGTTCTCTCTCTCTCTCTCTCCCTCCTCTCCCTCCCTTCCACTCTCTCTAAATATCAATGGGGAAAAAAATCCTTGGGTGAGGATTAATAAGAACAACAAAAAAGAACAGGAGTAAACAAAAAAAAACTCCCTTTTCGGATGCTGTGGACTGAACCATGTCACCCAAGGTGCCTGGTCACTGTTCAGTTACGTGCAGGGGTTCTGTGTTGCTGAGCGGAGTAATGAGTTGGGAGAGAAATGAGTTGTTCAGGATCACAGAGAGACTATGGGTTAAAAGAAATGAAAGAAGGATGGAGCGTAACGGAGCTGTGAAGGTAAAGAACCAGTCAACAAACACAGAATTTGATTATTCTGCTGTGCCATGTAAATCCTCATCCACGTATCCTCAGTAGACTGTTCAATTCTCATGAACGCAGGAGAAATGTGGATACTAGTATATCTGAGGATTGCCCCGAGCTGAATCCTGCCTCAAGGTAGGCTCATAGGAAGAAGAGAGTCTGCCCTCAGGAGCCCTGCTGCCCCAGAATTCCATAAACCCAGATTCCCAATATCCGTGCTGCAGTGGTGAGCTACACATGGGCCATGGGTAGGCTGCCATACTGATCCCCTCAGTCGTGGTTTTTGTCTAATTCCCACCCGAGGATATGTTTTTATTGATTTTTAGAGAGAGAGGAAGGAAGGAGGCAGAGACAAAGAATGAGAAACATTGGTGCGAGAGAGAAGCATCGATTGGTTGTCTCACATATATGCCCCGACCAGGGATCAAACCCACAACCTAGGTATGTGCCCTAACAGGGAATCAAACCTCAGTCTTTTGGTGTATGGGATGATGCTCCAACCAACTGAGCCAACCAGCCAGGGCTCCGCTCAGTTTTTGGATGGAGCCTGAAGCAGCCAGAGCCTCAGGCAGTAGCCTCTGGTTGCAAGGAGCCATATTCAAATCTTGAGGGATTGTAAGAGGAGCAAGACAGGAGTGATAAAACAGAGCTCTGCCATCTAGCTTACCAGCTAAAGTGAAGTTTTAGAAACTTACCAAACAGCAGCACTTCAGAGATGAGCATAGTTTCAAAGAGTACAAAATAAGAGCAAAATGAGGAGGTAAATTGAATTGGTGGAGAACAGAAGGATGTGGGATTTTTTAAAGTGATGTTATACACCTGAAACTAATACAACATGAAATTAATTGTAAACTGCAATTGAAAAATAAAATTTAAAGTTCCTTTCAGAAAGAATTAATGGTATTATAGGAAGGGAGGAAAGACACGAGCAAACGAAAATTAGGTGAGTTGTGGGCAGTGTTGTTCTGTGAAAGCTTTATAAAAACATGAGTTCTCACCTGCCTGGCGTGGCTCAGTGGTTGAGCGTCCATCTATGAACCAGGAGGTCACGGTTCAATTCCCGGTTAGGGCACCCGTTGCGGGCTCGGTCCTCAGTGTGGGACGTGCAGTAGGCTGCTGATCAATGATTCTCTCTCATCATTGATGTTTCTGTATCTCTCTCTCCCTCTCACTTCCTCTTTGAAATCAATTTTAAAAAAACATATATATTTTTTAAATTAAAATGTGAGATCTCCAAGTCTGATCTATGTCAGGGGGTTTGAAATAACAAACCAACAAACTTTCATTTGGGCCTGAGGGACAAGCAGGACAGGCTACTGAATGCTTCTATGATGACTCAGAAGAGAAGCTGTGAGATCTTTAAAAGACTTGCTTCCTCATTGGTGAAGGGTTGGTCTTACCTGCAGACGTGTGTGCCTGGCATGTGATGCTTCTTGACTTGCTCAGCCCTAAAAGCTTTCCCTGAAGTAAACACCTCCGGTTCTGCCCACAGTCTGCAGCCTGAGCTCTTCCAAAAATTTCCTGCATCTCTGTTTGCAGTAGGTTCAGTGGAGAGAGGTTCTGTGACTTGTGCTGGATCCTACAGGCAGGAAATGATGGAAGCAAACACAGAGATGCCTGTTAGCACATTACATCTGCCCTCCCTTCACCTCCCGACTACCTGCGTCTAGACCCCTGCCCTCACTGTGGCCCTGGTCTTGTTTCGGGTGGTCTGCATTAAAACCCAGCAGCAGCCTGGCCCATCCTTATCTTTACGGCACCACAGAGGAGCTGTCTTTTACATGCCTCGATCACAGACAAGTTCAAGCCATTTCTTAAGCAGGCAGACACACAGTGTTACAGAATGTGACAGTGCTCCACGGGACAGTCACCACTGGGAAATTTATTTCATCGAGTGGTAGCGAAGAAGCAGGTAAAATGAAAGCCTCCTGCCCAAAGTGCTAGCTGTCCTTTTAAACAACAACATCCACCTCTATTTGCAGAGAACAGCATGTGCACCCATCAGGACACCTGACTCATTGCCTCTATTCCAGTCTCTGGATTAGTCAGAGAAGTAAATAGACTACGATGCTATCAGAGAACCCTGAGTCTTTGTTACCCTGAGGTGTGCTGGCTACTGATTATCTCCATTGATGCTCAGGTAGGAATGAGATACTCACTCCTTTTCTCAGTTGGATCTCCTGGGAGACTTTCAAATAGATAGCAAATGGTGAGTCCAGGACAGTATGTGCCCGAGGCACTTTCCAGAAGCTCATTTTCAAGAGAGAACTGAATCTATTACTAGAGGCACACCCTAGAAATATGCAATGTCGAGCAAGTAATAGAAAAAGATAAGATGAAAATGAATGAGATCCCCCCCCAAAAAGACAAACATGTTGATTCAAATAAAATAGTCATGTCAGGAAACTACACACTTGCTGAAAAGAGACAGACCGTGTGCCTGCTGGGTGGCTGTGGTGGCTCCACCTGCACCGGAGCCCTCTGTGCCCCTCACATGCCTGCCCTCTGGACAGTCTAGCAAGGAGCTGGCTCAGCAGGGCTGACTGACACTGACGACACTAAAGTAACCAGCTCGCTCAGGTGCGGGGAGTGAACTCCCCAAACTATTGACCTCTGGGCTCCAGACACTCCCTTCTTTCAGCAAGGCCACTCTGTGACCAGAAGAACCATCTCAGTCCGTTCAGGCTGCTAAAACAAAATAGCACAGGCTGGGTTGCTTATAAACACAGAAATGTTTCTCACAGCTCTGGAAGCTGGAGGCCAGCACAGTCAGGTTCTGGTGAGGGCCTGCTTTGGGGCTACAGATGGCCAACATTTTTACTTTTCGCTGTGTGGGCTAGCTCTGTGGAGCCTCTTTTACTCTGGCTCTAATCCCATTCAGGAGGACTGAGCCAGATTTGTGGCTAATCCCAAAGACCCACCTCCTAAATATAGCACTTCCTCAAATAACGTTGTTGTATTCAGTGTTGTTTCCTTATAACATTGAGCAGAGAAAAGAAAAGAAAAAAAGAAAAAAAACCTTCCCTCCGAAGTCACCATCTGTGTGGCGTTTGCACATTCTCCCCATGTGGGCATGGTTTTTGTCTGAGGACTCTGGTGTCCTCTCACATCCCAAAACTGTGCACGTGAGGTGAACTAGTGTCTACCTTATCCAATCTGAGTGAGTGTGGGTGGTGTGAGTGGCCCTGTGGTGGAGGGCGTCCTGTCCAGGGTGAACCCCACCTTGCGGCTCCCTGAGCTGCCAGGGCAGGCTCTGGCCACCCGTGACCCTGAACTGGAATAAGTGGGTTGGAGAATAATGATTCATTCATCTTTCTTAAGTGTATGTACAGCTCACATTTATTTTAATGTTGACCATTAGGAGGGCTTTGGATCTTTATTTAGAAGTTTGGTGATGCTTTTGTGACTATAAATATGCCCTAGGAATTTAACTCGTGCTTATATCAATTAGCCTGTGGTAAAACTGGCTTTGTTATATGTCCTTTAGCTTAAAGCCTCCATTTCCAAGAACCTATCAGTGATGTTAAGTACAGACTTACCGTACTATCACCTTGGGCATTAGCTTTCTAACATATGAATTTTGGAGGGCCACAAACATTCAGACCACAGCTTTCTCTCTAGATATGTGAAGTGGTACCAAGGCAGGATTTTTCTCGTGGAGCACATCCCCAAGGTGCATCCGGCTGTGCCTAAACTAAGCACCCGACACTCACGAGCTGACCTTTGCTAAATCTTCCTCAATAATCCTCACTTTGTCACAAACCTTACCTGTTGTGTTTGCTTCAGACCGACGGCATGACACTTATCTGACAAAACTCAAGAGGAATAAGTCTCCTCCCTTTATAGTAGTTTCTATTCCAAATAAAGTCAACTGTAAGGAGTCAGAAGGATAGAAAGGAAAAGCCCAGTCTGGAGTGAGACAGATCTGGGATTGAGTCCTGGCAACATGGACTCTGTATCCTCAGACCATTCATACAATGTCCCATAGGTAATCCAGAGATAATAATGCCTATTAGTAGGTTTTTTAACAAAACCTAATAAAAGTTCATTTCCTTTCTACTTCCTCTTATTTCACTTCTACCCTTCAGCCTGTTCCTTTCCAGACTTAGCAGACTTAATTTCAACAGAGGTTTGGCTATGTATAGAAGTCAAGTCATTTTCATAGGATGAAGATTTATCACTATTGAATTGCAAAGAAAAAAAATGCCTCATATGTGGAAGGTAATTCATAAGACTATTTCTCCAGGTATACTACTCAGTAGCAGTAATATTTATTGAAAGATGTTTAAAGACCCCAAGGTAAATACTCTGAAAATAATAACAGGCATTCTATGAGTGCTAGCCAGTTGAAATAAAATTAGATGTGTGACAATTGTCGATCATGCCATTGTTCATGTAAGCACCTGCTCTTTTGAAGAAACAGTGCTCTGCCCGGTGAGAAGTATGAAAATGAGCAAGATTCAGTCTTTGTTTGCCTACCTATTTGATAGATATGTTTTGAGAATTAAAGTAAAACGACACATATGAAACATTCGTAACAATCTAAATAAATAGGGGATATAGTAGTCATATGAAAAAATTTTGTGTCCCTCCAAAATTGTTTTATTAGTCTTTTTGCCACAATAACTGAAAAAAAAACTAATCAAGACAACCTATAAATGCAATCAATTTCTATAATTGTTTGAAAAAAAATTAAGTATCAGATGCTTGTCAAGATAAATGCGAAAAAAACACCTATAATTCTAAAATTATGTTGTAGATTTATAACATAATCCCCTCAGAAACTGATATAACAAGCAGACAAGATTAAGGCTATTATTCTTCAAAAACCTTCTTATCAAAGACATGACAAATCAATATCAAATTGGATCTATTAAACATACTACAATGAGGAGTATGTGCTTTTTGGATACACATGCAACATTTATACAAATAAATCAGTTTAGGCCCTGGAAATAATCCCAATAAATTAAAAAATATCTATATATAATTCAGACTATTTACTCCAACCATATTGCAATAAAATTAGAAATTAATGCCACAGATATAGCTATTAAGATGTTTCATATGTTTGAGAACCAAATAACATATGACCAAGCAAGCCATAGGGTTAAAAATAAATCCTAAAGGAAATTAAGATCTACTTAGAACTGAATAAAATGAAACAGTTCATGTAAAAATATGTTTGACATAGCTAAGAGAGACTTAGGGAAAAAATTACTGCTTTACATGTACTCATTAGAAATTAATAAAGGTTAAAAATAGACATCTTTGTTATTTCTTTCCTCCTTATCTCTTTGGATATGCTTTGTTTTTCTTTTTCAACTCATTTAGTTCAATGCTGTGCTTGAATGACTATTAAGTATATGAAAAAAGATGCTCAACTTTGCTAGTATTCAGAGATAAGTAAATGAAAACAATGAGATAGAGGCTGGTTTGTTACATGCATCCGAATAGCCCAAGTTAGTTGTTACTATAGTGTTTGCAAACCTGCCATCAGAAAAAGAAGAAAGGAAGTGGAGAAGAAAAGGAAACCCTTCCTTTTAAAGGGGCATGGCCTGAAAGATACATACCTAACCACAGCTCACATTCCCTGGACCAGAAGTTGGTCACATGACCACACCTCACAGCTTTCCAAGTGTCTGGGAAATGTATACTTTGTTGCAAGGCTCCCATTTACCAGGTGAAAACTGAGGTTCCTATTACTGTAAAAAGAAAAGAGAATAGGTACTGAATGGATAGCCAACATGCTGTCACATATGACATGCTTAAGTGAAATTTTTAATTCTCACACTTCCCCCAAAATTTGTATGTCGAAGCCCTGAGCCTTCGGGAGGCAATTAGGGTTAGATGATGTCATGAGAGTGGTATCTGCATGACAGGATTAGTGTCCTTAAAAGAAGAAATACCAAAGAGCTCTGCCCTTTTTCTCTCTCCCCCCTCCCTGCATTTGCATTCATTTCTGCCCTCACCTGCTTCAAAATTCTTGGAAGAGGTTGGACAGCAATCACCAGTATCCTGAGGTTTCAAAACAGGCTTGCACTGCTGAGTAATGGTAGTTTCAGAACCAAGGACAGCGCCCGTGCCCCACCTCTCCCGTTGGTTTCTATCTACACCTACAGGAGTTGCGTGATCAAATTTCCCCAAAGTCACAGGTTAAGTCAGATCTCTCACAAATCACTCTAAGAAAATAATGCTAGTAATATAAAATAATAGTAGCAATACATGTATTGTTTTCTTTAATTCTCATAACAACCCTGTAAGTTTCCCAGCTTATAGTTGAGAAACAAATTCAGAAGGAGGTCAAGTGGCTTGTCTAAGGTCACATGGGTAGTACATATTAGAGCCAGAATTAAAATCTAAATTAGCCATCTATTATTTTTATTGAATTTGACATCTCTAATTACATAATTGCTTGCCAAAATTATTCTCTGAATAATTTTTCTGTAATAAAGCACTGTTTTCTAGTAACACTATCAGCATTATGTGCACTTTACCATATGAGACCGTTAGTTAAAATATAATTAATCTTGAGATATTGAGCTCCCATGAAGCCAGGTAATAGGTGGAGTCCCAAGCAAGGAGTCATACTTTAAGACTGAGGCAGGCCCTAGCCAGTTTGAGTCAGTGGATAGAGAGTCGGCCTGTGGACAGAAGGGTCCCAGGTTCAATTCCGATCAAGGGCACATGCCTGGATTGCAGGCTGGATCCAACATGCGCAAGGCAGTCAATCAATGATTCCCTCTCATTATTGATGTTTCTATCCCTCTCTTCCTCTCCCTTCCTCTCTGAAATCAATAAAAATATATTTATAAAAAAAAAAAAAGACTGAGGCAGGATCCCCCACTTAATCACTGCCTTCAATCTTACCCTGTGAGTTATTACCACCAATAGGGAGGAATCCAAGAGGGGAATGAAAGTCAAGGAAAATTACTATCTTTCAGAGACTTTGCTAGGCATTTTTGCAATGTTTTGAAATTTAATATTTACTTTTAAAAATAAAGTATTTTCCATTATAAATACATATTCAAGAGGAAAAAATAGCCAAAAGGAAAAATTCATTTTTTCAATACCCAAAGATAACCACTCTATTTGTGTTTATTCAACCATAGTCTTTTCTATAAAGTTAATTGCAATAAGTGTGGGAACAAGTGGGTCAAGGTCCTGACCCCTTCCCCGATCCCTGCTTTGAACAAAGTTGTTAAGCATTGCCCTGGCCGGTGTGGCTCAATTGGTTGAGTGTCTTCCCTGCACCTAAAGGTTGCCTGTTCTGAATGCAGAATCTTAGAGGGAATGTGGGGGAAGGTGGGTGGGTGGGAAGTGATCAACCAAAGAACTTGTATGCATATATGCATAATCCCTGGACACAGACAATAGGGTGGTGAAGGTCTGGGACGCGGGGGTGGAAGGGACTTGAAGGGGTCAATAGGGGGAAAATGGGGACATACGTAATACTTTCAACAATAAAGATTTTTTAAAAAGAAGAAGGAAGAAAGGTTGCCTGTTCAGTTCCTGGTCACAGCACATGCCCAGGTTGTGAACTTGATCCCCAGTAGGGGGCGTGCAAGAGGCAGCCAATTGATGTTTCTGTCTCCCTTCCCCTCTCTCTAAAAATCAATAAAAACATTTTTTTAAAAAAGTTAAGCATTGATTAGCTAAACATATTGGGGCTTCAAGTAAACTGTCATTTGAAGAAAATGTATCATTAGTTTTTTAAATTAAAGCTTTAAATTTTTATCAGGTAAAGATTTTAGCTGAACTTGTGGATATTTTTAAGTTGAACTTCAATTGTAAACCATAAGTATTTGTAGCTGATCTATTGAGCCCCTAGGAAGAATCTCACATATGGGAATTTCAGCAACTCTAATATCAACTTGCTATCTACTTAAACAACACTAGGTGGTAGCAGGTGATTTTTCTTTTCTCTTCAAGTAGTAAAATCATTGTGTGTGACTGTGAGTGTTTTCCTCCCTCGAGGCTATTAAGAACAGTGAAAAACTGGAAATAGGCTTGGGGGAGGGTGGGGGGGGGGGGGGGGGTGATAGAAAAGTTCTAAAATTGGATTGTGCTGACGACTCGCAAATTTAAATCACAAACTTACTAAAAAGCCTTGAATCACAGCGAATAAAAGTATAAAAAGAAAAAATTGCTAAAATAAACTTTTCTATTCATGGTATATATTGAGAGCATTCTTATACTACTTTACATATTCAGAAAAAAGCTCTCCACTTAGCTACAAGTTAAAATTTTAAATTCATTTATATAATCTGAAATGCTTCGACCACTGTACTTTTACTCCTTTAATCTGCATCTTTTCAGAGTTGCATTACAACATCAGAAAATCACCATAATGCTACATGTAACTAATTAACCGGTATAATACGTATTTAGTATCGCTTTTCCTGAGTTATATACTACTATAGAAATAGCAACAACCTGATTTTTAGTTCTAGGATGAACTCATAATAAGCTCTATGAACTTGCACAAGTTACTTAACCTCTCTGGCTCTTTACCTAATCTGTAAATTTGGAATAAAACTTTCTCATAGAGATTTTGTGGGGATTTACTGGGTTTGACATCAATAACATGAGAAGGGGGGGGGATGTTACTGAAACTACATGGCAATTATGCTTCTCAAAGAGTGTTATCATAATTCTCTTTAGTAAAACTAAATCTCTGTGCTCTATTTACAGATACTATTGGGAAAGAGGAAACAAACAAAGTCCGAATGCCTTGGCCAGTGATGTTAAGTTTACAATCTGAAGTAGGCAAATAGCCTCTTGTTTTAAATAAAGACACAGATATAACAACTATTACAAATTCCAGGGGCTGGGGTGGAGGGACTAAAGCACTCGAGTTTAAGACAAGGATGTTTCATATTCTATTCTTATCTGTTTGTTATTGTATCGTAACCAAGTTTTTCATTCCCAAGCCTCCCCTAAAATCCGCTATACAAACAAAAGCCCTGTGTGAGTCGTTTCAGAGAAAATCAAGGCAAAGAAGTTGAGTCCCACCCCTGGCTTTGTGTGGAGCAGAAAGAGCAGCTGCAGAGACAAACAAGATCAGAGTCTTAGGAGGAAGACCATCTCGGGGCTAGCTCTTACTGAACACAAGTCTTGAGAAGCACATTGAACTTCTTATGATTTCCCAGAAGTCTTGGGAAGCACATTGCACTGTTTAGATCCCAAACTAAAAGAACTGGGTTATAGATGGAATAATATGTAAATTATTAGTACAGTGGCTAACACACACACACACACACACAATATGTATACAGTTGAGCCTAATTATTCATGGTTCTATACTTGTGAATTTACATATCATTAAAATTTATCTGTAGCCCCAAACAATACTTATGACATTTTGCAGTCATTTGCAGACATGCACAGAGCAGCAAAAAATTTGACTCACCCAATACATGCGTTCCAGCTGAGGCTGACCATGGCAACGCTCTGCCTTCTTGTTTTAGCTCTCATAATATAAACATCTTTTGCAGTTTATTTAGTGCTACATTTTTCACATTTTTGTGCTTTCTTTTTTGGTGATGCTGCTGTTTAAAATGGCCCCCCAAGTGCAATACTGAACTGTTGTTGAAAGTAGCTAAGTGAAGAAGGCACAGAGGCATGACACAAAAAATACCTGTTAAACAAGATTTGTACGGGTATTAGTGATAGTGCTGTTAATGAAACAACAATATATATTAACCAGCGTGTCTTTAAACAGAAACACTGCAATACAATTCTGACACAGACCACCCAGGATTAGTATCAGACTCCACAGGTTAAAGGGCACAGTCCCCAACAACACTGCCATTTCTTCAGATGCCAGCCATAAGTTTGGGGGGGCTCCAGGCCATCTGCACTTCTGACCAACTGGCTACAAATTCAGGGGTTCCAATGACCCCCTCAGATTCAATAATTCATTAGAATGACTCACAGAACTCTGCAGAGCGCTACGGTATGATTACAGTTCTATTATAAAGAAGAGACACAAAGGGCAAGGTCTAGATGAGAGTGTGTGGGAGAGGGAGAGGAAGAGGGAGAGGGAGAGGGAACGGGGGTGGCAGAGAGAGAGATTTACAGACCCTAATTGGATTGGGTTAACAGAGACTAGGAGAACTAGAGATAAATGGGGGAATTTGCTGAAAGGGGACAAAGAGAATGGGGTGGTAGATGAAGGGGCAAGGAGGGGAAGTAGAATTTTTGGACTGGGCAGGATTCTTTGCCCTGATTCTTTGCCCACGACAGAAGGTGGTATAGTAAAGGTGGAAATTTATTAAAGAACAAGTATAGACTCCCATGTGGGGAGGGGGAAAGAGTCCCACAGCACAGACTACCACGTGGGGAGGGGAAGAGTCCCATTGAGTTTCTTTGCCCTACGGCTTATAAAGGCTACAGATTCTTGTACCTTGCTATCCTCTCTGATTGGTCACTATTCCCTTGGATTGGTTACTATAGTAACTCCTGGGTTTAAAGGTTGAACCTCACATGGGACATGTGAGGTCCTCCCCTCTCCCCCTCCTTCCTTATTGCTTTCCTATTTTGGGGGGGCTTTTCTCTCTTCTTTTGGATGAAGGGCTTCCTTCCCTTTATTTTTTAAATATAGACCTTTTGCTGTTCCCAGCTTCTTTATTCTATGGAAATGTACCTGTTGTAGCTTTTCAGCTCCCCCATTCTATGAAAATACACCTTCTGCTGCTCTGTAGCCCTGTGTTTCTTCCATGGTCCCCTTAATTTTTAAAATTTACTAAAACCTGTCTTTTTCACCCCTAAAAGTTCCTGTTTCAGAGGAAGTCAGTTAAAAAGATGTTTAAGTAGGGCTATTACAATATGGAATATCTCACCTGTATATTGATGAAAATAGTACAGTAGGAGGAACAAATTCAAGTTTCAGGAGGAGACACAATTGCATCAGTGATTTTTTCAAATATGTGAGAGTGTGTCAGATCTGAGGGCAGCAATAGAGAAGCTGACCTCAAAGAGAATCTGGCAACGTTCATCCATTCTAACAGTAGAGAAGAAAAGAATGTATGGGTCTAGGAGGTAGGTTGGTTGATAAATGTGAGGGGGAAGTGATTGATATAAAATTTGCTTTAACTGCTACCACTGTCTTAGGGAAAAAGTAAAATCATGAACTAAGAGCTGAGGGAGGCAGCGTGGTGATGGGCTGTCTGAAGAATGGAGAATTGATGTAGGATTGCCTTGATAGTATTGAGAGATCGCTTGGAGTATGAAGTCACAATTTCAAGTGGGACCAGTTGGATGGCTGCACTGTATTTTTCTCTAACCATTTTTAACTCTAATGTACAGATATTGAGCTGGTGGAAACACTGAAGGTCATCAGTGTTGGGAATTTGCCAGGTAAATATGATGGGAGGAAACTGGGAGTGTGTAGCTGTGTGTTTGGGAGTGACCATAATGAAGGGTCTGGAATCCAAGTTCTGTAAGGATGAAAATGAGAACGTGAAGATGATAGACAAGGCAAAGTTAGGATCAATGCACCCGAGTTCCTAGTGGAGGAAGGAAAAACAACAGTTGACCTACAAGTAGTAGAAAGAGGAAACAAAGTACAGGAGGCAGTCAGAGTGAGAGAGCAATTAGTCATGCCTAGGGTATGACCATAACAATGAGTGGTGGCCAAGTGGGGGTGAAAACAAAATCATACGAAATGGAGTGGTCAGGGACTGAGTAATCACCAATAATTTCAAAAACTCCTGACTTATTTACATCACAAGGCGCTGTGAATAGATGACTATAATAAGGAAGGAGAGCAGGTAATTGACAGGAGTTTGCTTTTGCTCTGTTTGGTTTAGGGAGGGAGGCAGGAATAACAATGTTTCTGGAAGTAGCTGCAGAACACCCATCACCTCTTGGCCTAAAGTGATTTAGGTATGGGGGGAAAACAATCACCACTTACCTTCAATATCCTCTCCTGAAAATATAGGGAATTGTGCAATGCCATTTGGAAAGACAACTATAAACAGTTTAAAAACACTGTGATACTTGAAGTTATTTATAGATTTTGTTATGTGGAGGTTCCTAATATGTTATCTGCTATGTATGGCTTAATTCAAAAGTATATAAATATCATACTCAAACAGTCAAATACGTGAGTCCTTTTGTAAAAGCAAGGTCTCTACAAAAGCTGTAACAAAAAAAAACATTAAACAACCAGGAAAAGCTACATCACATATATTTGTGAATTTACTGAGCACATGTCTGATTAATCATCCTACTTGATGGTACACAGCATTACCAGACCTGGAAACTAGAAATTAGAGATAAACCCACTATCTGCTTTGGATAAGTCCAGCATGCTAGATGCTCTCATTCTTTTTATATATATTTTTTTTTAAAAAAATTTTTGTTGTTAATCCTCACCTGATTTTTAGGGAATGTGGAAGAGAGAGGGAAAGACAAAGAGAAACATCGATGTGAGAGAAACACATCGACTGGTTGTCTCCTGCACGAGCCCCTGCAAGGGCCGGGCTGGAGAGGAGCCTGCAACCTAGGTCCATGCCCTTGACCGGAATCAAACCCAGGACCCTTCGGTCCGCAGGCTGAGGCTCTATCCACTGAGCCAAACCAGCTAGGGCTAGATGTTCTCATTCTTAAAAGAAGACTTACAAAAAAAAAAAAAAAAAAAAAAGACTTACTAATTTTATTTTTCCCAAGAAATATAAAACAATAGTATCCCCTCTGGAGAAAATGGAAGGGCAATGCATAGGAAAGGGAAATTATTAAGTAATCAGACAATCTTCCTAAGAATTTTCACCCTCACTAGTATATTATATACCAATAATAGAAACATATAGTAGGGAGAAAATTACAATTAATGAGTTAATGTGAAATTCTGATATGGGGAACTTAAATCCAACTAAACTGACAATAAAACAGTACATTCAAGTTCAAATAGCATTTTAAAATTATTCTTTGTACCTAAAAATTGAGCCAAAACTACTAGTTCAAAAAAGGTGTTTTAATATCAATTGAAGTGGTATCTATCTATAACACATAATAAAAAGTACATGGCTTTGCATAATTTTTGTCATGGAAACATGTTTGTACACACTTGGAAAAAACATCAAATAACATTCAAGTTTAACAACCACTCCCCAGATTATAACATAGTAATATAATTGAAGATGGCAATACTGTGAAACTACCCAGTGAGTTCTACCTAGAAAAGGGAAGGGGTGGAAACATGGATGAATTTTTTTTTAAAGATAAAGAATAAGAGATTTTTTAAATTTGCATATGCTGCTGTCCTGCTGCCTGTTTTGATCAGCCGAATTAAATACCCACATTGTGTCCCTTGGTCTGACATTGCTGCCTGATTAAATCATGATCGTGACAAGCCAAGACTCAATGTCCTGGTGCCTTATGCAAATTGGTCTGAGATTAGACATGTTGTTGACTGCATTGTGGCCTCCTTGCATCATGCCCTTCTTCAGTGTCCTCCCACACTGACTCTGCACTGGGCAATAGTAGTAGCAAAGTTGACTCAAACAAGGTTGAAACCTGTTTGCATGTTCAAGAGTCTTCTCTTGGACCTCTACTACCACTAGGGAAAATGTCTGGTATAGCCTGCTGAGAAGATATGTTACATCACCCCAGCTACCTTAGACTAGCTCACAACCCCCTCCCGACACAGCAGACCTGCCAGATAATTGTAGAAACATGAGTAAGTCCAGCCAAGATCAGCAGAACAACCCAACTGACTTGCAGATCCACACACATTATAAAGAATGGTTGTTTAAGCCAGGAACATTTTGAGGTATTATGCAGCATTAATTGCTGACTGAGTGGTCAGGCTAGCCTTACTTACATTGTCCTCTCTGCCTCTGGCATAACCTAGATGAGTTAGGTTCAACTATAATAGGAAGTGGAAAATGGAAGCACCCTGACTGGTGTAGCTCAGTTGGTTGGGTCACCCTGTACACCAAAAGGTGGTGTGCTCATTTTCCAGTCAGGGTACATACCGAAGTTGCAGGTTCAGTTGGGGCTCATACAGGAGACAACTGATTGATGTTTCTCACTTCAATATTTCTTGCTCTCTCTCCCTCGCCTTCTCTCTAAATAAATAAACAAATAGATAGGTAGGTAGGTAAAATGGAAGCTAATGCCCAGCTGGCGAGGCTCAGTGGTTGAGCATCAACCTATGAACCAGAAGGTCATGATTCCATTCCCAGTCAGAGCACATGCCCAGGTTGCGGGCTCGATCCCTCACAGGAGGTGTGCAAGAGGCAACTATTCAATGATTCTCTCATCATTTAATGTTTCTCTCTCTCCCTCTCCCTTCCTTTCCAAAATAAATAAAAACATAAAATAATCTTTTTAAAAAGAAAAATGAACAAATATTTATGTAAAAGTTAACATACTCTTTCATTTCCAATGCAAATGCTTCTATTAGCATCTTAATCATCTTTGAATCTGATTCTTATATATACCTAATATGCAAATATTTGAATGAATAAGTTATTTTTAAACTACGTTTGTTAGTATATAACTAAAGAAAAAAAGCTCCAATGCAAAACATTTTAATAGGTTGTCAAATATACAGTTATTAGAATTATCTAAATATCACTTATAAAAATTGGTATATCACATTAGATTCTATAAAATAAAATCACACATTGACAATAACCCCTGCAGTCCAAGAATACCCCCATCAATAGTACAAATTACAAATACATTAAGAGACATTTAAACCAAAAAGTAACTCTGACTAGACTAAATACATTCATTCATCAAGTACAATAAACTTAGCATAGTCACTAACAACACAAGTTTAGGTGCAATTTCACATGCTTTCACAAATCTTCCAGTACAGCTCCCAGAGTAAAGTGTCTTTGTGCACACCATTTTTATTTATATTTAGGTGCATCATACATCATCCTTAAGACTATTTCACTTCATAATTAAACTTGTTAATATATATTGTAAGAGAACACCAGGTTAAAATTTAGCCCCAATGATGACTAAGTTTAACAATTAAAAAAATTCTTGAGAGTATATTTTAATTTGTTTAATCGCATGAATACTATTTCCTCTTACTAGATGCTATCAAAATAATTTCAACATTAACTCCTCAAAAATGGAAACTCCAACCTTCCTAAAATATTAACAAGCATTTTAAGTAACAATAAAATTATCCTGTAAGTCAAACAGTAAATTTCACATTCATTGCCAAATTTAAAATACCAGTGATTTGAAGATTGAGGCCTAAAACATTAGTACTAAATTATAAAATACAACGTAAAAAATGTGCAGTAAATTGCTTGTGAAAATATAATGGGATATTTCTCACAGTAATGTTAAAGCACTACTCTAAATGGACAGTCTACGTAAACGTACCTTTACCAACAAGCAAGAAAACTGAAAAATTAAGGCCTTTATATGCTATATATTACTATCTGAACTCAAAGCCAAATAGAGGTTACAATACTGCAAAGTACTATTTTCAACCTCTCTAACATTGTTAGTTGCTTCATCTCAACTCAATAATTACCTTATCTTTACACAAACTCAAATGCTAGTTAACTTTATCATCTTGAAATATTTCTCTGTATCTCTATTTTAATTCAGTCCCCAACCCCACGCCATCTAGACAGAATGCTGGAAATAGGGCTTTGTCTGATTAGTTCACAACTGTATATTCAGGGGCTAAAAATGGTTAGCATACAGTAAATATCCAGTATTTTTGAATCTATGTAATAAAGCCTAAAGTGACGGTTATGGTGGAATGACCAGAACCACCGGTCGCTATGATGAGCACTGACCACCAGGGGGCAGATGCTCAATGCAGGAGCTTCCCCCTGGTGGTCAGTGCACTCTCACAGGGGGAGCACTGCTCAGCCAGAGACTGGGCTCACGGCTGGCTGGCGAGCGCAGCGATGGTGGCGGGACCCTCTCCCACCTCCGCGGCAGCGCTAAGGACCACCGACCCGAGCAGTAAGGACCAAGGGGTCCTGGACTGCGAGAGGGATATCCCAGACTGCGAAAGGGCGCAGGCCTGGCTGAGGGACACACCCCCTCCAGTGCACGCATTCCGTGCACCGGGCCTCTAGTGAACTAATAAGAAGCCTGACCTCCATGGGCAACTCTACTTGTTTTCCCAAAGCATTAATAGGCAATTTACCTCTTTGCACAACCAAACTAACAATTTTTTAAAAGAAACTGATATCTACGCTGTGATAACATAGACCGTAATGGAAAGACAACTGAAGTTACACATATATCAAATCAAGGTTAAAGGCACTGGATCAGAAAGATTATTATAAAGCATGGTAAATAATTTTTAAAGCAAATCAAGTTTTAAAGTATCAAATGTTGAACTGCTATGAGAAAATGGTACTAAAATAATGCTTTAAAATAGTTGACAAAATTTCTATAATTTCACACATAAAATTATTTCATTGTTTTACCATTTTCTTTCATCCTACGTGTGTTCTATATTCCAAATCCTAGAAACAAATATTTTCAGTTGCATGAAACAAGAAAAATGCAACTGAATTATCTTTGAAAATTAATTTTTTCTTCAGTTATGTTTTAAATTTGATAGACATTATAGAGATATGAAGAACATCATCTTGAAAATCATAAAACAGTAAATTATACTGTCAAAATAAAATTTAAAAAGTTCTTACTCAGTTGAATAGTCTAAAGCCCCACAATAGCAAAATGTAGTGTAAGAGGCATAGTAAGTACAATCTTTCCATACACATAAAGAATAATGAATACTGAATTGAAAATACCACAAGCTCCATGTTAGAGGTATGTAATATACACATTTTCACAACTGTTTCTTGAAAAACTATTTAGATAAAATATTTAGCATTTATCAATTTTTTTATTTAAACCTATGCAACTTCCATCCATATTAAAATATCAATTAGTGTAAATACTTTCTTATAAAACTATTATACAATTTCAATTTTTATTAGAGAAATGTAATATTCACTCCCCATAACTTCTTAAAGTTCTTTTTATTAGTGCATTCCGTAAGAAATACACTAAAACCACTGTTTGTGTTTTCTAGTGGAAAAAAGTGATAAATTTATTAACTCAAACTATATCCTTATTATGATTACTTCTTAAACATTTACATGTTTAAATATGCTTGGTGAATAGTGATCATTCTATTCCCGCAGTGGTAAATTTCAGCATAATGCTAAATGACTGGACTAGACAGTAAAATAATCACTTGTAGATTACATAAACAGATACTTATTCTGTTATATGTAAGCTTACTTATAAAGTAACATAAAACAAGCATTAGATAACAGTGATAAAAAAAATGTAAACAAACAAATGTTAATCCCTTCCCTGAAAAACAAAAGATAAAAGGGCTTCTTGTTTTATTAAAATAAACAAAATAATATCTATTTTATAAAAAAGGTAAGACACTGATTTTACAAAACTATATTTCCAAATATAGGTAAAGAAAATCTGGAATAGTTGACACACTTTATTGAGATAAAATGTGCAAAAAAATCTGATTAATACTTAAATGTATTAAATTCATTTTACATAGGCGGATACCATTCCCTAAAAAAAAAAAAAACTTCTTGTTTTGTTCAGATTCAAAATAGTGTCTAATTATCTGAACTTAAGATTTAATGAGCCACTATCCAAATAACAACAAAAAGTCTATATTGTAGGAAAAATCAAGTAAAACTAAAACATTTCTATTAGTTATTACTTGAAATTCATCCCCACACACACAAAAAAAAGCTAATACCCATTTAGGCAGCAGAGAAAAATATGAAGTGCCTATATAAAACTTACAAATAAAAAAATTAAAAACAATCAAATTTTGCTATAACAAAATGCATATGAATTTCAAAGTTATTCGTGTTTAATAGATTTATTAAACTTAGAATTCACAGAGCATTTGGTACTTGGTTTGTGCTCAGATATTTTGCCCACAGAGGGGCTTGGGAAGGTGACATAAACATAAAATTGTGATACTTTCCTCCATACTAAAAAAAAAATTATTGGATTTAAAAATTTAATTTATAATTCTTAGGAGAAATTGGGGTGGGGTGGGGTGTTGGGACACACTAACAATTCCCAGCTCTAAAACATTTTCCAAAGAATGTGGCAAAACTATTAACTACTTAGATGTGTTATTAGTGAATCAAAATGCAAGCAATGGGAGCATAAGCATCTAACATATTTGCAAATTAACTTTAAAGTTTTCAATAATAACTGGTTATTTTTAAAAACGTAATATGAAACAGATAATACAGACTCTAATTTATCCAGGAAAAATAGCATTATCCCCCATCTATAAAATTAAATCCTAATTTCTCTCTTGAACATAATATAAAACTATTTTGAGTAACAATGAAACAGAAGCATGGGTTTAGATATGCACCACTCTCTATGATGTACTAATTTACACAGTATGTTTAATAACACAATATTGGATGTTGTCCTTCACTGCATATTAGAATTTTGAGAAACATCATTTTTAGCAACATAGATTTACTCTACTGTTTAACTAAATGGACACATAAAAATATATAAAATTTTTAAAAATTCAAGTTATTTTAAGGAGAAATAAGACCAAGTTTCAATTACCCACCTTTTTGAAGCTGCAGTTAGAGGAGAAGGCATAGAGTTTATAACACTTTTCACAATATAGTAAATATATATTCCAATTTGCCCATAAATGAAAGATTTTAAAAGAAAAACATGTTTCTTCCAAGTAACTTGTCTCTTCTTGCCCTGGCAAGAATAATTATTAGTGCCCTTAATTTCAAGATTTTTGTTGTTGTTGTCTGTTTCAATTACCTTTTTCATGAAGTATAAACATGTTGAAATATGAGTAATAAATAAAAATTAAAGGGAAAATCTGCTTTTGGAATAAAATAATTCAAAATCATTTCACTAAGAAGCACCTTTAGATATGCTGGTCTAAATTTTAATATAAAACCTAAACAGTACTTATTTCTGAAGTAGAATTTTCTCCAGTTTTAATAACTTCAAAAAGTAATACTAAGGACATCAACCTGTGCTTTCTAGATTTTTGAAAGTATTCTCATAATGTAAAGAGTTTAGATATGGCTCATTGTCACAGTTGGGTGGACAGAGATTTCATGATAAATTGGCTACAGAAAACTAAACTCTTAATGACTGAATGTTTTGCATTTTGCTTGAGCCAAATAGATGTTTAAATCATGTACCACCACATTCCCTGCTTAACATTCCAAAGTTTCTTTATTCTTCATAGTTTTCTAATGAACAAATAATTAGTTTTCCTGAGTAAGATTATAAAAAAGTTAACCCTTCTACCAAAAGTGTAAAGACAAATAAAATGCCGACTCACAATACAAATTGTTTACATAGCATTACAAGTGCAGAGATACTGACTGCTGCTCTTCACAATGATTGCCCCACCCCTTAAAAAGACTGCAGCAAAGGATTCAATTGTCCAAAATACTCTGAAGTACAGTAATTAAATTCTTCAGTCCATAAACATATCCCTCATCTATTGTGTTGCTAGGGAAAACATGAGCAAAATCTATCATTCGCACTTCTACTTCCGCAATCTCTTGGCAACCAGTGGGAAGATGGTAGAAAACTTTTTCCAGTTGGGAAAGTACATTTCCATTTAAATGTTCCTGTGACAAGCTTTTCCACCCATTGTCTTGCTCTATATTTTCAACTTTCAATGAAGTCTGACTGTGATGCTTTCTTGAATACATTTTTCTGTGACGAGCATACATCTTGGACAAGCTTTTGCCTACTGAAGCCTCTATTTTTCCATTTGTTGCGGAACTTAACACTCGAAAGTTATTATTATACTCCAGTACGTTTGTGTCCGAGAGTTGTCCTTTGGACAAAAACTTTTCTGCCAAAGTTCTGTCATTTGATTTTGTAGTAGTTGGATGAGATGAACCTTCATAAACAAACAGTAATGAACTTGCATAAAAGTTAAGCTGCTTCTGGCTTTCAAACCACTGCAGAATTCTCTCAATCTTCTGAATACTGGCAGCAACAGCATCTTTTCTTAAGCAGAATCCATTATGAAAAAACCTGGAAACTCCTATAGAAAGGAAAATACAGTATCACTGTAATATATTATTACAGTTATAATGTAATTATGAAACAGCTACCACTTGGGAAGTAAATTCATCTTAGATATCATTTTTTCCCCATCATCCCTTTCAATAAACTGAACTAGGAGGAATTCTAGTCAGACATAGAAACCTGGACTTCAAACTTAATTTCTGGTGAAGATGCTGGTAAACATTTAAGTTACACTTATGTAAAGTGAAATATCATTTAAACAAAACTATTTATTACAGATAGACTGGTAGTTTAGTTCTCTCTACATATATTCTCTTAAGGAATGTATTCCAAAATTTATTTCATTCGCTATTTTGAAGGATTTTATTGATTACTTGTTTATCAGAACCACATGTAAGAGCTCATCTAAAACCTAGAGTCAAATCATAACCATTTTTAATGGTGTCAACAGCCTATTACCAAAATACCAAGTCATAACAAGCACTAAATTTTTTGTTCTCAATAATATTGATTAAATCAGTCTTTCCACAAGATAAACATTAGGGATTAGCACTATTCCAGTTTGAGTATATTATCCAAATTAAGACTTTTAAATGCTTTGACCTATGAGATTATCTATGCCTCTTAAAATTATTTATGCCTATTTTACCATATTTGGAAATTTATGGGTATGTACAATTTTATTTTTGCCTTTAAATAGTTGTTCCCCTACTCTGAGACAGAAATTGCTAAAAAAAATATATTCACATTAGCTTGGGAAATATTTTAATAAAGAACCAATCTGCATGCCCAGCCACAGGGGCACAAGTGGCTAAGTGTCGACCTATGAACCAGGAGGTCACGGTTTGATTCCTGGCACAAGCCTGGGTTGCAGGCTCGATCCCCAGTGGAGGGTGTGCAGGAAGCAGCCAATCAATGATTCTCTCTCATCATTGATATTTCTATCTCTCTCTCTCCCTTCCTTTCTGAAATCAATAAAAATATATTTAATTTTTTTAAAAAAGAGCCAATCTGCATATTATCTTGCTATTGGCTGAGGCAAATACTAATTGTTACGATCACATGATGGATGCCTGTTTTTTACACATAAAATAAAAATTCTTCGCCAGAACCGGTTTGGCTCAGTGGATAGAGCGTCGGCCTGTGGACTCAAGGGTCCTGGGTTCGATTCCAGTCAAGGGCATGTACCTTGGTTGCGGGCACGTCCCCAGTGGGGGGCGTGCAGGAGGCAGCTGATCGGTGTTTCTCTCTCATCAATGTTTCTAACTTTCTATCCCTCTCCTTTCCTCTCTGTAGAAAATCAATAAAACATATTAAAAAAAAAAAAAAGAAGTCTTAAAATTTAAAAAAAAAAAATTCTTCTTCAAACTCTTTATATTACACATAACCTGTTTCCCACCTTAGGCAGAGCTAAGAATAAACTTCCAATAGACTATTACTTCCAGAAATTTAGGATATCATTGTTTTTATTTTGTCCATAAATATTTTACAAGTATATATATTAACAGACTTTAAACTACTCTTCATGCCACTTGTTCATTCATAATGTAGGTCTAGAATATACACAGCTCAACTATAAAAGAGAAATTTAAATAGAAAATGACATGCTACAACACACACTTTAAAGTCTCTTATGTAACAAGCAGTTTTAACATACTAAGATCTATATACTACGATTTTTAAATGTGTTTTTGTTGATTTCAGAGAGAGGAAGGGAGAAGGGGAGAAGGAGAGAAACATTGATGTGAGAGAGAAACATCGATTGGTTGCCTCCCTCACACACCCTAATCAACCAGAGACCAAACCTGGACATGTGTCCTGACTGGGAATCGAACCATCAACCTTTTAGTACATGGGATGATGCTTAACCAACTGATGCTGAGTCACACCAGCCAGGACTATATACTATGAATTTAAAGACAACCTCTAGTTCTAGTACTTGGACTAGATGGTTGGTTCACAGATGTTCATTTTTATTTAAGTACTAGAGGCCCAGTGCACAAAAATTTGTGCACTCGGTGGGTGGGGGAGGGGGGGGGTCCCCCAGCCCGGCCTGTGCCCTCTCGCAGTCTGGGACCCCTCGGGAGATAACGACCTGCTGGCTTAGGCCTGCTCCCGGGTGGC